ACAATGGATATGGCAAGTTGACTTTATGTAAATTAAGTTTACTCATTTTGCCTCGAGATAGTTCCTATCGGTAAAGTTTAGCTTACTTATATAGTCTGACATATCTAGTGTGAAATTGTGTAATTTATCATAATTTTAGTGGAACGATAATGCATGATCGGTTTAAAGATATCTATCTCATATTCCTAATCATATCAAAGATAACCTTTTGGTTAACGTAAATAATGAAATCGATTTCTCGCAATATAATATAATTCATGCAACATACATACATACATACATACATACATACATACATACATACATACATACATACATACATACATACACAACTTTCCGACATTACATACAATTGTAATGGTAACAAAGTTACTGGTATAACAAATGGAAAGTAGTATAAGAGTTTGTCAGGAGTTTCTACTAAGTACTAGGAAAGCAAAAATCTAAAGTAATAAGGTTTTTCTTGTCTCCAAAATCATGCATTTTGTTATTCAACAAATTCCATCTTGTCAACATTCTGGCCCCTGATATTTAGTGGGTCGAAAATGTGGCATTCAAAAAAACCAAAAGTAATTCTTTCTTCTAGGCTTAACCATTAGGTTTATTATGCATTGATATATTTGTGTCTCGTTAAAACCTTCTCTTGATTTGTTTGTTTTAAGAAATGATCATGTGCATCAAAGCATAAAATCTAAAAGATGTTCGTCCTATCAATAAATGTTTGACTAATTGTTCAATATGCTGACTGAATATTGCACATGGGATTCTAATAAAATAGGGCCTTGTAATTATGAAAATCCAACCATACACAATGTAATAGGACCTTGTTATTGTATGCAATGAAGAAATCAAAACGGCCTCACTTGAAGAATGGAGTCATCTAAGCTTCACCAAAAGTCTTGGGTTACTTCCTGGCTCCGAGTCCATGGCGGGTGCAGGAGGATCCGAAGCAGACTCAGAATCACGCCTGGTACAATCGAGTATTCCTATTATCTCCTCTCGAGAGACGACAATACAAAGTTCCCGTTCCGGCCACCTGACGACCCGTCGAATCAGAGCCTGTCTTTCGTGTAGGCAAACGCATTAAGTCTGAGTCGACTGTGCATGCAAAATAGTAGACAGACGCTCATTCTCAAAAATCAACCTACTTGGGACTAATGGGATTTTGCACAAATCGACTCTCGCGCAGGCGATAGCTTAACTTCCTTTACGTCAACTTTGACATGCATTCAAAAAATGCCATTCTCACATCAGCCTCAAATAAACACCCCTGGCGGGACTCGAATCTCAGACGTGGAGGGAGGTAAAGCGGGTCCTCGATGCGTTGTACGACAAAGCGAAACTCTTTTACTTTACATTATTTTGTGGACAATCCTGGCAATGCCATAAATCTCAACACATTACTGATGCTTATTTAGTCATATATTTTATATTTCGAAGTACTAACATTAGTGGTGGCAGTAGAAGGAGGGGGAGGAAATCAAATACTCTTCACCCTGGAGTGCCTCGTCTCTTTACAATAACGCTACAAGGGTATCTATCAGAAGCAGGAGCCATGGCACCGTGGCCAATCACAGGCTGCCGATGGGCACTGTGCGGGATTGCCGGGAGTTTCAGTATCCCACCTCATCAACAAGTCACATAAAGCCGGTCCCGGTCTGGCCCTCGTGTCCTCAGCCTCATTTATGCAGCCATCTCCCTTCATCGGTCCACAATGCCACTTAATATTGAACTGGATGCAACAGAGCATAAAAAGTAGATCCGTAGCCCGTATTTTTCAGGAATGACAGTCCGACTTGTAAACAATAGCATTTCAAGGAGTATTCCGGTTTATATGTCAAGCGCTCATCTGAAGTGTCAATTGCAAATTTGTGCAGCTTTAAAAGATGTGATTTTGGCTTATCCTGAGTCTGCTTATACACAAATACTCTATGCCCATAGAGAACCCACACAAGCACAAGATGTTCCGATGATGAAAGCGGTCCAGCGTCAGGCTGCATGGCTCCCAAGTTTGAGCGACGTAAACGCCCATCCAGCGGCAAAACTGTAAATTGCAATTTTTCATTCCGCGTCAATCCACATTAAACAGATTAGACTTCTGCTCTTCCATTTTTAATTCTCCATCGCTCCGATCTTTCGTGGACGTCACTATCGGAGCACTCGTCTTCGGAGGAAACTCAATTTTGCGACTGATTTAACATGTTCCTCTTGAATTTTGCTCACGGGTCAGCAACAGAGGCAATAGCCTCTTTTGTAAAAGAAACCCGACTTCAAGTTTTGTCATTCAATGAACACAGAGCGTCCAAGTCCTCAAACAGACCCTCTGGTCTCTATTTAGCACTTTCATATTTTCATGCTGATCTGTTGCTGAGAGTATGTTCAGATGGCTGTGTGTTTTACACATTTTTTCTAGGAAATTGCGTCATTTATTTTAAATTAATGGTATTTGTTCATTTACAACCCAATTATTTAGAGATTTACGGACAGTCCAGAGGCCGAATGGCTATTAAAAGCTGCTGTAATATTCGGTGTTTTACCCAAACTACTTAATACACTATTTTGCACAAGCGGAATGAATGATTCTGCTACCTGTCGTCACGGCCTGATCCTTCCGCCATGCATAGTCAATTCGAGTATCTATATCGGTTAATTTGTTCCACTAGGGCTCATTTCTGAAAGCAGAGGCTGAGGTTTGGAAGTCCTAGTGCACAGTTTATCTTTCTTCCTCATTGTCAGAACGTTGATGCTCCAGGAGGCCGACAAGATGTAAACTTGGCAGCACAACAGCACAAGACCGATGAATCTCACCGTCGCACCAGCTCAACCAACA